AGACCCCCCCCCCCCCCCCCCCCCACACTCCGAACCCCACTGCAGCACACTCATGTTCGATGCTGAAGGTATGCCATGTGCAGGGTTCGACGCAGAAGCGCACCTGCCGGGCCCCTTGACTGCGTTCGTGGCCGGCGACCTCACGACACCATCGGGGTCGACAGGGCCTTCCTTGGTCTACCTTGGCGCAGAGGGGAAGGTGGTGGCATACCACGGCTTGCCAGAGCAGGTGGGTGACCATCGTGCATTTTTTCGTGATTGGAGGGAGCCTCTGTTGGTGGGTAGCATGACGGGCGAAAATTGTCTATGTTTCTCGTGGGACGCGACCCCCCTGCCCCCGTTGCGTGTTCCACTGCTGTCCAATTGTCCCAATTCATTTCGCGGTCTCGGCAGATAGAATCGGCGACTCCGGCGCAGTTCATCCCCATCCTCGTCAAGGACGGCTCGATGGATAAGCTGAAAGATCTCTTGACGAGCCTAGCCAACCGCCTTCAATGGCGCTCGAGCGAGCAAGCCCTGCCCCTGTTCCCATCCTCCACCCCTCCACCCGACGCGCAACCTGCTGATGAGAGCGAATGTGTCCAACTCGAGGATGGAACCGGCTCAAGTGGGCCCGCTGAGGTAGCTACTGCCGCCGCCGCCGCCAACATATTTTCGGACGACGAGCCGGACGCAGCCCTGTCCCTGTCGGATGCCATCTTGACGCGGGCGGTTTTATGCTCGTCGGGACTCGTTGTCGCGCTAGGGAGCACTGCGAGAAGGAACGAGCGCCGGAAAAGCACTGCAGATTGTGGCGCCTGTAGTTTCGACGATGCTCGATGGCGACGCGAAATGCGCGCGCTTGCGGAGGGAGAGGGAAGCACGATTACCGTCGGCGAGGGAGCGGCGGCGATAGACAGGGTATTGAAAGAGATGCAGGCTTGGCAAACCAGGGGAAGAGGTATGACCGTCCACAGTAGTTGGTGGTGCGAAATAAGTAGAACATACTCAAAGCGGTATCAAAGTCGCGAAGTTCTCGATAAGCACCACGATCGGCTTAGATCCGACTGTCTCCGTCATCACTGGCCATCTTACGCACGGTTATGAGTCAGAGGTGCGACCGTCGGCTCCGGGCAGGCATTTTCAACAGTATTCGTGCATGTCACGTATTTTATCTTTCGACGATCCGCAGGATCTGAACGCCCCGTTCGTCCCCTGTCCCCTCTACTCCCCGCAGAACCGACCCTCACACATTTTCCGTGCTTACGGGGAACACTGGAGGCTCTGTCATGTTGGGGGTCGGGCCCCCGGCGAGATTCCCTTCGAAGCGCTTTGAAGGAGTCTAAAGCTACGGCGGAGGTGTTTGCGTCACCGGGTTGAAGCTTGTCCGAGCGGAAAGCCCCTGCAACCCTTTGAAAAAATTCTCGTTGGTTGTCGCGCAAAACTCAATCACGGCTGAAGGGCTGGCCAGCAGACATAATGTGTTGATCGGCAAAGTCTACGTGATGGCTCACCACTGGCTTCGATGCGAATCGACTAGCTCAGCACATGATAATTTGTTTTCGGTGGTACCTCATGACTCGTGTCTTGTGGAAGCGTCCCGCTGCATCGAGATAGGCAGCATTTTGCCGTCTTGTGCTCTGTTTCGGCGGGTGTAGTGAAGTGTTTTTGAGACATGATTGGTGACACCTAGTAGCGACTCCCTTGCACGGCGCAGTTCGTTGTCTGTCTGGCGGAAAGGGTTTCCCACGACGCTCGGTCCCAGGGTCCCAAATTGTGGCCTTTAGAAGCATTATATGTTTCAACCGCACTGAGACTGACGTCTTTTCATTGGTCAGTCGGCTAGTGCGGTCGATGCAAATAAGAAAGACACACACACACACCGCTGCAGCTTGACTTGAGCCCTCATCAAGGAAAAATGTGCTTCAAAAATTGTTTCGTTTCTTTTTTGGGGGTTGTGTCATGTGCTGGAAGCAGATTTTTCGGCTGAAGAGTGCTGACAGATGAACTTCGTAATTTGTGTTATGTCACACGGCTGGTTTACCCGGACGCATGTAATTTTGTGGTCGGAAGTGTCTTCGAAGACAGGTTGAGGCGTCCCGAATCCCGAAGACACCCACCAGCATTTCGCGAAATGTCGATGACTCGCTGCCCGGGCTCCGCGATGCATGGGGGCAAATAGATGTAGCGCTTGTCGCTCGTGCGTGTTGGTGGTTCTACTTCACATTTTGCGCTGGCCATACACGATGCTGCCATCATTTGCCAAAAACGTTCATCACACAAATGGTGCAATGGGGTAAATACATCTTGCTAAAGGTGACATCGCCTTTGCTCCCCGAACTACTGAGCTACCCGATGTCGATGCTCTTGTTCATCACCGCCTTTTCTACCACCTTTCTTCCGGCTGTCCCGCCCGTACCGCATCCCCTTTAGGGCTGCCTTACCCCTGGCTTCCCGAGCACCCCTGTGGGGCGATCTTGCCGCCGAAGCGGCGGCGAGTAGACGCTCGAATGGGCGAGGTCCGTCGAAAAATTTCAAGTATTTGTTGGCGGTCCTGGCCACGGGGAAAATAAGCTCGAACCCCCCGGATCTGCCAAGCTCGCGTTCACTTTCCGCTACGACCGCGGACATCTGGTGATGTACGTTTTTCAGCAAAGGGCCATGGGGGTGGAGGGCCGAAACGGTCTTATGAAAGTACTCACAGCCATTTTGGAGAGAAAGATTCGACTGCTAAAGATGAAGATGCAGCGTAAACGACCAAGATAACTACCTCTCCCACAGACTTTCACACCCGGCCAACATGAGCAACAAACATAAAACTACCGTTGCATCCCCTCCGCCTTTCAGCAGCTGCATCTTTTCTGGGTCCTTGTCAACGTTGCCAAGCAGCTCGCCAGCGACCTGGAACACACCTATTGCACTACTCTCGAAGCCGATCATTTGCGGTGTTCTTCGGTCTCACACCCTCATGGCGAGCACAATTAGGCAATGCCTTTGGGAGTTCCGCTAGACCAGCGAAAGTGTAGCAGACACATTTTTGTTTTGGGTGTGAAGAAGTTTGAAGTCCTTCAGTTTGAGCCTCATCTGCACATGATTTCAAATTTATTTCTCACGTCTTTCTCGGGCGCGTCGTCTTGAGTGAGCGTGCTCATTCGACAACTATACGTAGGGCTAGACAAGAATCAGGCTTTCTTGCTCGCGAGTGTAGTCGAAACTTAACGTTATCGTTCGTCCACCCCTCCTTACGAGAACATGGTGCAGACTGCGCTTGCTTGCAACGTTTCGCTCCTTCTTGAAACAAATGAACAAAAAGGCTCAGATTGTCGAAAAAAAAAATTGAAATTTCGGGTCCAGACGCCTCTTGCCATTTCTTAGGAAGTAGGGGGTGGGCTCTTCCAAGAAGCGGCGCAAATTGAAGGTCTCATCAGCAGCGTCACGAGCATATGCGTGTCATCGCGATCGGATGCTGCAGCTAGGAGCTAGACAAGTTGCTAGATTTCCCCAGATTGGCTATTCCTGCCTCAAACTGTTTCAGGGCGATTTGATCGCGGGCGGTGAGCTCTGCTGTAGATTCTGCTCCCCGCTGTAGCTCCACAACNCCTTTCGACGGTCAAATGCGATAATAAGTGGTTGCGGAGATTTGCTCAAAAGGGGGCTCAGCAGTATGATACCGCACCTACCACAAAAAAATCCGACTGTAACTTCGCGCAGAGAGCTCCGATCGACACCAATAGCCTAAGTGATGGCTGTGAATCGTGGGAACTCAACGCGAGTTACATAGTTGGTGTCGATGAGAACTCTCTGCGAGGAGGCACGGTCGTTTTATTTATGGCAGATACAGTATATCATACT